ATAGACATTTATGTCTTTGTATCTAACTAGTGTACCTTTTTTCAGAACATTTTTTAATATGTATTTTTTGTCAAATAAGTCTAGTTAGGTGTACCGACTTCCAAAAACCCCTTATTCATATAAGAGTCCTTATTACTCTTATATGGGTTTTAGGTACTGGGCTATCCATAAATTTGTAAGCTTTAATTAATTTATGGAATTTAAGTTCAACCTATTTTGCCTTTTGAAAGTTTATTTAATTTGGGCCTATAGAATTTAAGTATTTTTTAATTTAACAGCCTGATTAATTGTATTTGGGCTTATATTATTTAGGGTATGGAATTTAGGTCCAATTTAATTTAATTTAACAGCATTGTTAATTAAATTTGGGCTTGTATAATTTAGGTTATAGAATTTAGGTCCAATCCAATTTTATTTATCTAATTGATTTGAGTTCAATTATAGACATTAATTTGTTAATTAAATTTTTAATGTCTTCAAATGCCCTTCGAGATTTATTTACATATTTAATACTTTATAAATATATAAATGTGTCTCGATTTGTATTTTAAAAGGAATTTGATTTAATTTAATTTATACATATATTTTAATTGGAATTATAATCCGTATGAAATTCGGTCTATGTGGAAGTCCCATTAAAATTTAACTTTTGAATGTCACCTTGGATCAACCAACATGTATCACTTCCCTTTTTTTTTTTATTTCTTATATCTCTCTTTTATTGGTGCCTTCTTTGTATTATTACTTTTTTCTTTTTATTTTCTTAGAATTGTGCGAACAAGTCTAAAAAAAAATTTGATTAAATTTTTTTTTTTTTAGTTATTTTTGATGTACTTTATTATTTTGTAATAGAATTATAACCCATGTTGGACTCCAAGTAATACAAAGAATTCAATTAGTTACAATTTCCTAATATTTAGTTTATTAGGATTCAAAATAACTAGTGTTTTTTTACTTGAACACATGAACTTAAAACACTCAATTCCTCTAACACTATCATAACTTTTCTCTATTTAAGGATGCTCAATGACCCAAGAGTAATAGCTTTTGAAAGTTTATTTGTGAGTCAAGAAAACTTCGTGGTTCCAGACATCAAGGTATGTGTTCATATTTTATATATATATATATATATATATATATATATATATATATATTATCGAATTATATTTTTTAACTTTGGTATCACAGTTGGTTTTTGTTTTTTTTTTAGACGTAGTTTTATATGACTTTGTTTTTTTCGTTAATGACGATAACGACTTTCAAGACCTTAGCCTGTGAGAGATGTAAATTTTTTTTTTTAATAATTCGTTGTTGGCATGGACAAATTTTATTACTTTGATGTATAATTGATTGCAATGTTTGCCTTCTTACCAAGTTTTTTTTTTTTTTTTTTTTTTTACGCAAATTTAGATAAAGTCATAGGAATTATTCTTTTGTTTTAAGTACATTTGATTTTTTTTTTTTTGAAAACTTTACCCCAAAACTTTAATTTGAGCAATTTTTTTTTTTTTTGATGTTTCTTTGGTGGTATCCAACACACTCTTCAACTTCATTTACCACAAGAACTTTTTTGTTGGTATCATGATAATCCAGTCTTCTTTTGATTGTCTTTTATTATTATTATTATTATTATTATTATTATTGTTATTATTATTATTTTTATTTTTTAAACTTAGTTTGTGTTTATTACTTTGTTTTATTTCATTTATTTATTTTTGTGTGTTTATTGTTTTGTTCTTGGAACTAGGACCAGGAATGAGATTTATTTCATTGAATTTCTTTTAAATGTTTATAATAGACAATTTTATGATTGACTGATTGGACCATATAAGTATTAGGTGTTTGCCAATTCATCCCTTTTTTTTTTATTAAAAACTTATTTTTGCCCAATGCAAATATTTCTACTTTGTCACTTCGTAGGTCTAAAAGCATTGTTTACCATCAATGAAACTCTGACTAACAGTAGCTATTTTTGTTAAGATCAATGGTTGGTAATTTGTGTGGAGCCCATGTGAAAGTAGTGTTTTTTTACTTGGCTTAAGGTAGGTTCTTGCAAGAGCTCATAACAAATTTTAGTCTCTATAATATCACTGTTGATTCGAGACAAAGAACTTTGACTCGGATAGTTTATTTTAATTATTTTATTTTATTTATTTTTGTTGCTTTTTTGTATGTAATTTTTTTTCCAAATTTTTTCTTGGATTAGTTTTTTTTTTCCAAAAAATTTTAATTCAGGTGGTTCTATTTTTAAAAAATTTGATCTCAAGCATGTTTTTCTTTTCTTTCCTATTGTTGTACAAATTTTAAACTACTATTATCAAGACAGACTTTTTTTTTTTTTGAAATAATTTATCTTAAGAAACTTTGTTCTAAGAAATTTTAACATCGGGTTGACTTTACGCTAAAAATTTTAATTTTAAATAATTTTTCCCAAGAATGTTACTCTAGGTGACATCCATTCCAACAATTTATGGTTTTTATGTAAACTATAGGTGACTTCAGTTAAAAGAACTTTATTTTACTTTATTATTATTATTATTTTGTTGACCTCCTTAAGTGATTTTTGTGTTGACTTGGATGACTCTTGTGACAATTTTAGGTGACTTCTGTGACAATCTTAGGTAATTTCTGTGACAGCTTTAAGGTGACTTCTGTAACAGCCTTAACTGACTTCTGTAACAGTCTAAGGTGATTTTTATAACAGCCCAAAGTAACTTCTATAACAGCTAAGGTGGCTTCTGTAATAACCTTAGGTGACTTCTATAATAGCCCAATGTGACTTTTGTAACAGCCCTAGGTGACTTCTGTAACAGTCCTATGTGACTTCTGTAACAGCAAATGTGACTTCTATAACAGCCTTAGGTGACTTCCGTAACAGCCTTAGATGACTTCTGTAACGGCACTAGGTGACTTCTGTAATAGCCCAAGGTGACTTCTGTAACAGCCCTATGTGACTTTTGTAACCGTCCTAAGTGACTTCTATAACAGTCCAATGTGACTTCGGTAACAACTCAAGATAACTTATGTAACAGCCTTAGGTAACTTATGTAACAGCCTAAGGTGACTTCTGTAACAACCTTAGGTGACTTTTTTAACAGCCCTAGGTGACTTCTGTAACAGCTCTAGGTAACTTCTGTAACAACCCTAGATGACTTATCTACTCTTGTATTGCTAGTATTCTTGTATTGCCACTATTATTATTATTATTTTATTCCCACTTTATTTATAGCATCAAGGTTTTTTTATATATATATATATATATATATATATATATATATATATATATATATATATATATATATATATATATATATATATATATATATTTTTTTTTTCAAATTATTATTTGCCTTTTTTTTTTCTTATTATTATTTTTATTTTTTTTAGATGGCCTCATCTTAAAAAGCCAAATCGAAAAAAATTATCAAAATTTCAAGTCAAAGAAAGAACTTACCTTCCGATGAGTGGATTGCTGAGTCAGAAGATCCAATTCTAAAAGACAAAGTTTTGTATTTTCTAACTGTTGTGGTAAAGAACTACAGAACCAACGAGCTGTCAATATTATCACTCAAAGTTCTTGAGCCCATGACTGGTCTTTGCAGCCGCTCGAGAATAATCTATGAACTTGAACTTCATATGCCGATGATTAGTGAATATCCTCTACCAGAGAAGAAGCACAAAAGTGACATGGTTAAGTTAGATTGACTACCCTCACTTTGCGCGCCTTCGTATCATTCCAAAGATTATCTTATCCCAAAGCCACTTGTTGTTGATCTGATCAACCAGAGGACTGCGAGGTGGGGATGTTCATTGAATCCAAGGGGAGATATTCAATATCTAAATGGGTTTTGGGAGTGGTCTCAACGAATTTAGTGCAAGTTGTTAGATAAGGGTTTTGACGAACTTGCTTATTTTGTGCATGCAGCTTCTTTTGATTACTCTCGACCCCCAACGGTGTATATCACGCCCTTTGTGAATTTTGGTGTCCACAAACAAATAAATTTGTTACGAGAGCAAGAGAAATTGGAATCTCACTTTGAAAAATGCAACACGTCACCGGTCTATCAATCCGTAGTGAATATTTTGAAGAAGTTATCCCAAGCTTGACTGAATTGAGAGACTCTGATACTAGTGTTCTTCCTATGACTTGCCTGCATTTGTTTAAGGCTTTTGTCTTAATTAATAAGAAGAAAGGGGCTAATCGTCCCCGTCATTTAGAATGGCTTGATTTTTGGTTTAAGGACGGTGCACGTGCTTCGAATCCCAAGAAGAGCAAGGTATATAAAGCAGCCATGACAAATTGCTTTAAAAGGGATGGAGAATTTTTTGCAAAGCGACGATTGGTGAGACCTATTCAGGTAGAAATACAACCTATGAAGACAAAGGTCAATGGTGATGATCTCTTCATTCTTCTAGATCTTGACCTTGATGTCACAACACGTGAGGACTTAGATATTGCAGCTCATTTAGCTGTATGGCTATGTCGCTGTGTATTTCCTTCATCAGATGATGTTATTTGTCCAACTATCTTCAAGACTGCCTCCCGAATGGCTGCTGGAGTCGCATATAACTTGGTTCTCCCTATTGTTGCAAGCATTTACAAAGGTTTATCTGAGACACGCAGCACCCGATATGATCAAAAAAATCTCAAAATGGCTTCTTATGCTTTTCTAGGTCATTACTTTTATGCTTGGGCAGCTTTGCATTTCCCTCGGGGAGTTTATGCTGAGGTTGATGAGGAGCTTCATTGTCCTTTGCTTCGACGATTCAGAGGTACACTGAATGCCTATCTTTTTTATGAGGAAGAAGCAAAAGGATTTCAAGATCTTCTGCGTGGAAGTATGAGTTCTAGTGATTTTTGCTGGCAACCAGTTCCGTATTTTGGAAACCGAGGGCCTCGTCGAGATGATGGACAAAGATCAGATGAAACCTCTGAATTAATGACAAGTATGCAAGGTGGATACGTCTTGTATCATCGTGGGCCAATTTGCATTCTTGAGATGTATATCCCACATCGCTTTGCTAGGCAGCATGAGTTTCATCAAAGATTGCTAGGTACTCCCTCACATCTATTAATAATTTCTTTTGATGTCTCTTTTTTATATCGGGCATGGTTGAGTTTAATAGTGGGGTAGGATTTCATGTCCTTAATAATTGCGCTCGCATTGAGAATCGATGTGACAGTAGTTATAATAGCTAGTGGAAAGATGTTGGACTCCCACACCTAGATGACATCAATTGTAAAACCTTGTTTGCTAGTGAATCTGAGAATTTCAAATTCAAAACTTAAGCTGATGGGTTAGGGAAAGGGAAATCCCTTCCTACAGTAGCTAAAGCTCCTTCAAGTCTTCGAAAACGGGACACTTCAAAGGATTGTTTGAATTCCCAAGAACAACCAGTTCCGAAGATGTTAAAGGTCACAACACCTGTTTCAAGATCAGCTAATGTTCGACTTGTTCATCCTTTAAACATCCCAGAGTCTACTGAAGTGAGTTCATCAAACGAATCTGTACATGCATTCCTTTCATCCCGCATGTCCAACGGTATTTTCAAGAAATAGGATATAGGCTCGAATTGTGGAAGGATTCCAAGCGCAATTGTACCAGTTGATAATCTTGGTTTTACTAAGCAGGCACTTCAAGAGAGGTGCCAAACAAGAGCTACAGAAGCTGAGCATAATTTGGCTTGTGTCCGGTTAGAAGATGGTGCAAATCATAGCACTATAAAGTCTCTCACAAGCAGGGTTGACCCATCTTGTGATGCTCTGAATGACTTATCAAATTTTTTAGAATTATCCCCGCGATCCCGCAATAAAGGTACTTGCAAAATTTCATTACTACTATCATTATTATTATTATTATTATTTATATTCAAACCTCTTACCTTTTTTTTTTTAAAGCTTTTCCTCCACTCCCAGATCTTGCCACATTAAATTCCATCCCAGGTATTTGTGGAGACCAAAATCTTGACAATGATATCATTGGAGCTTTATTTGATGACAACGATCGGACCATGTCCATTCTTTCTGGCAGTGGTGAAATTTTTCCTTTGGTTGATGGAGAAAATGCCAATCCATGTGAAGGGGAAGTTAATTCTAAAACAAACCCTTCATGTGCCATACAAGCAAGGCAAGAAGCAATTAATAATTCTGTTAGGAATACTCTTCCTGAGCCTTATGGACCTGGTGAAGCGCAATCTCCAAGACTAATGCCAATGTTTTCATCTGTCTCAGGTATATTTCATTAGCTTGATCTAGTTGCCCTTTCGATTAGTATGCAACTAATCACATATCTTTATTTGTGTCAGGTCCTCTTGTTGAAGCAATTATTTCTGAAAAATTGGCAAAGAAAATAATTCTGACCGGAATGCCCCCATATTTGAAGGGTGAATTTGATTATGCCATGAAAAATGGCTTCTCTGGATTGAAGACCTGGTGGACCTCCAAGTCTTCAAGTATTAAAGATACTCTTAAAAACTTTTCTATGTTGACACAGATCCTTTGGTGAGAAAAATGAGTTGTCTTCTTATGAAAGTAGATGAGTACCTTTCAAAACCCCAAGAAAGCGTCAAAGTTTTAACCTCTAGAGAAAGAGATAGAAGGTTGGCGACAATTGATAGCACGATATCAGGAGGACAATTCAAAGTTCTTGGCTTGAGTGAACAACTGTTGAAATCTGAAGCAGAGTTATTGAGTCTTGATGATGAAATCCGGCAACTGCAAGATCAGAGGGCCGAGGTAGCATGCAGTATTGACTTCATTCGTGATGAACAACAGAACACTGAAGAGACTATTGTGGTGACGGAGAAAGAACGTGTTGAACTCCAGGAGTCTCATATTCGTAGTGTTGAGGAGATACAAGATATAGACAAGATGCGATCCATGTTAGAGAAAGAATTTACTTCACTAGCCTCGATCGACTGGGTTGAGAATTTTTTATGATTTCATAACTCCTCAATTGTAATTCTTTTATATATATATATATTTAGCAAATATGGATGTTTAAATTTGATTTTTTTTTATTGTACTAAAAAAATATTGATTCTCAAATAACTTAGATATCTTAAAAAAATGTTTAAGTTTAAACATAATTTTGAAAGAATTTTTTTTTTTTTGAGCCGTACACAGTTTTAGCTCATGCGGGCTAGGAGCAAAATTTTTTTGTTTTTGGTTGACCCGTACATAGTTTTAACTCATGCGGGTCAAGAGTAACATTTTTTTTTATTGTCGTTAAGCTACGTAAAATTTTTTTTAAGCCATACATAGTTTTAACTCTTGCGGGCCAAGAGTAACATGCAGTTTAGGCTCGTGCGTAAAGGAGCGCATGAACTTTTATTTTTGGTCAAGCCGTACACAGTTTTAGCTCATGCGTCCTAGGAGCAAAATTTTTTTGTTTTTGTTTTTTTTTATAGGTTGGTGCAGTGCACAGTTTTAACTCATGCGGGCCAGGAGTAACATGCAGTTTAGGCTTGTGCGTAAAGGAGCGTTGCTTGTTTTCAGGCATAGAAGCACTTTAAAAATTTCCCATTGATTGGGCCAACCCTCAAGCCATCTTTTTCAACAATCTTGTATGCGCCGTTGGTGTAGACTTCTTTCACCACATATGGACTATCCCATTTTGGCATGAATTTTCCACCGGTGCGATGTGGAATGACAATGGGTCTTTGAATTGCAAGGACCAAATCTCCTATTTGAAATGATCGGACATGAACCCTCTTATTAAAGGCTTTGGAAAGTCTGGCTTTATAACATTCTAGGTTTTGTTGTGCATGTAGTCTCTTCTTGTCAAGTGCTTCATGCTCATCTAGATGTAAATGAACATTTTCTTCATGTGTGAGTTCTTCTTGTAAGGCAATCCGTAGGGAGGGAATTTGACGTTCCAAAGGAAGAACAACTTCAACGCCATACACAAGGGAGTATGGAGTAGCTTGTGTTGGAGTTCGGTATGTTGTTTGATATGCCCAAAGAGCTTCACCAACCCTGTCATGTCAATCCTTCTTTGATTTGGAGACAACTTTCTTCAACAAGTTGCACAAGGTTTTATTGAAGGCTTCTACGAGTCCATTGGCTGGTGCGTTGTAAATGGATGAATTATGTTATATAAACCCAAATTTGATGCAAAGCTTAGCCATGAGGCTATTGACAAATGGTTTTCCATTATCAGTGATAATGTAACAAGGTACACCATACTGATATATAATATTTGTTCGAATAAAGTTGACAATATTCTCTTTTTTCACTTCTTTAAGAGAAACTGCTTCCCCCACTTAGAGAAATAATCAGTTGCTGCTAAGATGTAAAGATGTCCTACTGACGATTTTGGAGTCAAAAGTCCTACGACATCAAGTCCCCATACATCAAAAGGCCATGATGCGATTGTAGGGTGCAATGAATCAGGTGGCTGGTGAATGAAGTTGGCATGGAACTGACAAGCTTGACATTGCTTAGCATAACTCATCGAGTCTTACACCATAGTGGGCCAATAATACCCCATTCTCTTTATGCGGAAATGTAATTTAGGTCCTGAGTGATGAGCACCATAGATTCCAAAATGAGCTTCCTTGAGTGCTTGAGCAGCTTCATCTTCGTACAAACATCACATGAAAATACCATCAAATGATCAACGATAGAGGATGCCTTTATAATAAATAAATCGAGGAGCTCTCCGTTGTATCTCGGTTCTATGACGTGGGTCATTTGGTAATCTTCCATACTACGAATAATCAATCAGAGGTTGTCTCCAATCTTCATTTTCAACATACACTACTGAAATGGTAGTAACTTCCTCCATTTCAGGGAGTAACGAAGGTATTACCCATCTTTGACAAATTGGAACTGAAATTATTCGGTAATAGGGTTTTGTAAGCACGACGGTAAGATTGGCAAGAACATCAGCATATCTGTTTTCACCGTGTGGTACGTTTTCAATGGTGACTCGATCAACTAATTCATAAGTTGAGTAGCATAGCGACAGTATGGAATCAAATATGGTTTGCAAACATCATACAATTCTAAAACTTGATGAACCACCAGCTGCAAGTCTCCATAAATTTCCAACTGAGAGAGCTGCATATCAAGTGCCATTTCTAAGCCAATGATCCAAGCTTGGTACTCCGCCATGTTATTGGAGCAAGACTCTGTCAAGGTAATTGCATAAGGCAATACTTTGTCTTTAGGGGTAATGAAGACCACACCTACACTAGCTCCATACCTTCGGGCAGCACCTTCTCGAGAGAATTGGTCTTGACAGGATCAGATTTTGAAATGAGATGAACAACATGAGCCAGCATATAATGCCTCAACTTATTTGTAGCAAAGACTAATGCAAGACACATCTTTTCAATAGGTGAGTAGTTTAGTTCTGCACCTACTAATGTCCGACTCAGATAGTATAATGCGTTTTCATTTTCCTCGTCATTAACTTGTGCTAAGATTGCTCCTAATGATTGTTCTTGGGCAGCAATATAAAGGATCAATGGTTTTCCCTGAATTGGTACTGCGAGGACCAGGGGTTGAATGAGATATTGTTTGATATTTTCAAAAGCATTCTGACAGGCATCGTCCCATTCAAAAGGAACACCCTTTTCATTAGTTTATTGAATGGATGACAACGTCCGGTGGGGTTCGAGATAAATCTTCGTATATAAGCAAGCCTTCCTTGAAGACTTTTCAAGTCATGCAGATTGTGAGGCTCTGACATCTTTAGAATAGCCTCTTTGACTGATCAATCTCGATGCCTCGATGCCTGACAATAAATTTGAGGAACTTGCCAGAGGTAACCCCAAAGGCACACTTTAAGGGTTTCATTTTTAGTTGATATCTCCGAAGCCGTTCAAAAATATTGCACAAATCATCAAGATGATCTTCACATCTTTTTGTCTTTACGACCAAGTCATTAACATAACATTCAACCTTTTTGTATAGTACATCATCAAAAATCTTTTGCATTGCACGTTGATATGTGGCATCAGCATTCTTGAGTCCGAAGGGCATCACTCTGTAGCAGTAAACTTCCTTGAGGGTTTGAAATGCAGTGAGTTCTTCGTCCTTAGGGTCCATTCGAATTTGATTGTATCCAGAGGAACCATGCATGAAAGATAAGACCTCATGTCCCGTAGTCGCATCAACCATGAGTTCTGTAATCGGTAGTGGAAAGTCATCTTTCGGACATGCTCGATTTAAATCTCTAAAATCAACACAAACTAGAATTTGTTCATTCTTTTTTCTGACAGGCACAATATTAGCAATCCATGTTGGATATTTGACTTCTCGAATGAATTTAGCGTCTATCAACTTATTGACTTCAGCTTCGATCTAGGGGACTAGTTCTGGACGGAATCTTCGTTGTGGCTGCTTAATGGGGCGAATTCCGTGTTTAACAGCAAGATGATGAATTGAAACTTTGGGATCAAGCCCTGACATTTCTTTGTATGACCATGCAAAAACATCTTTATACACTTGTAATAGTTTAAAGTACTCACCTTTCTTTTGAGGTTTCAGAAGAGCACTGATGAATATTGGTTTTGGATCATCTTCCGTTCCTAGATTCAATTGCTTTAGATCATCAACAATGGTTTGCCCTCCTTTTTCAAAAGTCGATGGTGCTGGGTCGGGCTTATCATTAGAAGTTGAGCCTTCTAGTTCTAAAGTTTCATCAATAGTCACATGGTTCACAGAGACAACTTCTTCCTCAATCTTGAATTTATTGATTGGTAAGGAATAAACATCCCTCGAACATACCTGATCCAAGTTTCAAAAAATAATGCACATTCTCATATTTCCATCCTTATTTCTCAGTGATACAATGTTTCCATCCACACGGGATTTTTTGCTTCCCGAATGAAACTAGACTTGACCAACATATTGACTTTGGCTGAAAATTGTAAAACTGATTTTTTACAGAACCACTGCGGTGAAAAAATGTCATCCGTAATAGCAGAATAGATGATTGCATCATTGTGACCAATATCTTCATGATCATCCTCAATATTCTCAACCATATCTTGCCCCTATCCTTCACAGGTGATAAAAGTTTGGTTGGATTCATTTGTTGAGGATAATTCTTCAATATCAAATTCTTCCACTGTTGTTCACTTAATGGTGACATAGTTCACTGAGACAACTTCTTCTTCGATGCTTTTGGTATGCACTATTTTTTGTCTTTTCTTATTTCTTGAAAGCAAGTCTTAGGTAGCTATAGGATTATTGAGATTAGTAGTGCCTTCCTCAGCTACAATTGCAAGCTTTG